TTTATGTTAGAGTACTAATATTATTTTGTTGACCCTAATGAACTCAAAATGACTGAAATTTGGCTTTATTTTATCAGTATAGGACAGCATATATCCATCTCTTTCTAGAAGTGTCATTAAAGGTGAGTAATGGATTAAGGGCAGTAGTATCTCCTGAGTATGTAGCGTACTGCCATCGCTAACCGGCATTTACTGGTGGTAAGACGTAATATAAGCATGCACTTATCAATACCGCAGATCTATTTCTGCAGCAAAACAGTAATGCGTTCCGCTTCGTGATTAACCAAATCAACAAACGTTCATTTTTACATACCAGAAGATAAGATAAACCACTCATGAACTACCTGTATCGTCTAGGAAGTTGAGAAATGTATTGAGCATTTACATTAACAGTAGCGTACTTACTATATTCATAATCAACTTCAGTCTTTGAATTATTTTCTCTCTTAATCTCTTCTCTTTTATTTTGTATTACCTGTAAATAAAAAAAACGGTGAAGTGGAAGATTTCAGAGAATAGAAGAAGTCGAAATATCAATTTCAAATCAATCTTGCATTTTATTTTAATATACTAATCTCGAACAAAAATATCCGAACTGAACTTTTTTCGACTTTTGACTTTTTGTCAGTCTGTTCTAATACACAAATAATAAACAAACAATCAGACAAATAATAAACATAGAAAATATATCGTAACCACCAATGATCATAATGTGAAGAATCTGTCTGCCTATTCTAGAAATATAATATCAAAAGGTTAGCCTAGTATAATAAGTCTGAGCTCACGGCGACTCATTTGCATGTTACTGAAAGCCGAGCTCTCTTTCCGCCCGTCTTATGGAACCCTGAACGCTGGGATTTAGAACAGAAGGATTATTTCCCATGTTATCTCACAGTCCCAGCAAGTGGAGTGTGATCCGGCCCTACAACCCATTAAATATTTAGTTCAACATACCTTATCAACAAAATCGTGTAACATTTCAATACAACTCTGGTGCTCATTGAAGACAGGAAAAAGCTTGAATAGCCAAACGGGCTGCAGCCACAAATGAAATATCCTCATACATACTATATTAAGAATACGATTCATAGATTTCAAGAAATTTGAATCTTTATCCCCTTGTGCGTTGATCTTTACACCGAGTGCCGTTTCTGAAGAAAAAATTAACCATGCAAATTCTACTAAACTAAAACTAAATTGTTAATTAGTTTATCGCACTTAGTTATTATGTTATAATAGTATTTATTTATTTCTTAATATTCGTAACTCATACCACATAATATAAATCAATTGAATTTAAACTGTAAGTTACCACAGACAGAGTCCAATGTGTAAGCGCTTAGAAAAGGCCATGAGCTGAACATTCCTTTGCCGACACATTTATCCAAATTTGAAGAGAGCTTCTCGCTTTGCTCAGAGATTATTCCTACAAAACTCTGAACTATTTTAGGACTGAACGCTGGTACCATAATTTTTCGACGTCTTCGCCATATTGACACTGAAATATAATGCAATAAACATTTCCTTGAGAATGATATATTGGCTATTCTAGCATCTTAATATAATAATTATAATACCTATCAGTAATTTCAGAGACTTGAGTCAGTCTGCACAGGTGAGTCTCTATAGAATTAAAATATATTTTCTAAGGAGTCAGTATTTACAAAACTATAAGTTTTCACTAAAGAACTCACTAAAAGAACAGTTTTTAGATAAAGTAGATGGAGATGGAGAAATGTAAAGCAGATTAATGATTAAAATTTATTTTCATCAGTACCGATGTGTACATACCTGGGGCAAAAATTCCTCCGTAACCGATAATTGCTCGTATAAATCTATGTAAATCGTCTTTTTCCAAACATGTCTTGAGCACCACTTCCGAGTCGACGGGGTTCGATAAAACTAAACATTATAAAAAGAGATCTTAGTTTTTCTAGAACAATAATACAATCTGATGTCTATGCGGACATAGACATGTCGTTCTTTAGGAAATCGAATTGTTCATTATTTTGTCTTAATTGCCTGTTGGGAGTCGTAGCAGGCTCTGATAATAATGAACCCAGTAGGGATGCTGCTTGTATGTGTGGACGAGCGGACAGCCCACTTCGTGTTTACTGGAGCTCATAGACATTGAAAAACGTAAATGTGCCACACACCTTGAGATATAAGTTCTAAAGTCTCAGTATAGTTATTGTTAAGTAATTTATCATTTAGTACCTATGTATTAAAAAAGTGTGGCTATGGCAAATATCGTATCCGTATGTCTAATTGTCTTTATAAATTAAACTTACATTTTCAAACAGACAGAGCACTTGCACAAGTAGAATATCTGTATGAAATGCAAATAGTATTCCTATTATATTTTTTTTTTGTCATGAGGAAATCGCCGGACTTTCGCCCTTCACTGGGGATGGAGGGAGGGGCATGTCGGAGTCGAACCGACTAAAACCTCCTGTCGCTCAACAACCAGCATCCAAACCTCGCATGAGACAGAGCTCATGAAAAGGCAAAAGGGGGAAAGTGAAGCGTTTAGTGCAGAGCACATCTCTCCCATCACCCTCTCCCTCGAGACGACGGAATGGCGCTCGTCAGCGCCACGACCACCAGCCCTCTCGGTCGGCAGGCTATCCGGAGCCCGCCTAGATGGCGCCGGTTAGAATGGTCTATCCTACGGAATACCCCGCTGGGTCAGAACCAGCGTGGGTTGAGGATAGCCGGCCTTCCATCACCCGGATGCTCATGCATAAAACGCGTGCAGAGCAGCTTGCACGTCGTCTTCTTAGGCCCCCTTCGCCGGTCTCCAGGCCGACATGTGAGGGAGACACTGAAACACTTTGAGGGCCAGGGCTTGGGCGAGATCCGCCCCCCGGTCCCCGCTCGACGGCGGCGGGCCTGTGCGTCTCTCACGCGCCCCGCCGCTTCCTTCTGCGAGATGGTGCACTCGCAGAAGTCGAGCATCGCCTTCCACGACTCGTCGTCACCGAGCATCGATGCCACAACACTCGACAACGACAAGTCATTTCCTATTTTTGCGACGAGGACACGGCGCCACCCCTCCCATGCAGGGCAGGCAACGAGCGTATGCTCTGCCGTGTCCAAGTCGCAACCACAATGGTGGCACTCTGCCGTCGGCTCAGCTCCGATCCGGTGCAGGAACTCACCGAAGCAACCATGCCCAATGAGCACCTGCGTGAGCCGGAAAGTGAGGCGTCCTCTGTCACGATTCACCCAATTCACAAGAACCGGGCGAATCGCCTCGATGGTCCTACGACCAGCCGAAGGATCGGCCAGCCGCCTGGACCATGACTCCAATGACTCCAGCACGTACCGCCGAGATTGGGCCCTCCGCGCTGCGACCACACTGGGGCTGGGACGCGCCACGCCCCGGGCACGAAGGTTAGCCCGCCACTGATAGTCAGCGGCGAGCGCCTCCGCCTCCAGGACCCAAGGCGGCGTCCCAACTAGTACACACGCACGTCGAAAGAGATGGTGCGATAACCACGGATGACCCTGACCGCGATGGTGCGTTGCGGCCGTTGCAGCAACTTCGCTACCCCCACGGCCAGGAACTGGCCCCGCACGGGCGCCCCGTATAAGGCCATTGACCGCACCACCCCCGTATAGAGACGGCGCGTCACCTGGTCAGGCCCCCCGATGTTGGGAAGAAGCCGGCTTAACGCGCCGGCCACTCCCAACAAACGAGGGACCAGGTTCTGAAAGTGAACACGGAAGGTCCAACGACTGTCCAGTATGAGGCCGAGGTACTTCAACTGCAATTCCTATTAGAATAACTTAATCCTGAAATCACATTAGCAGCGGACTACAAGCATTCAACTTACCAAAATAAAGAATGTGACCCAACCAGCCTTTCGCTAGGCCGTTATGCTTCATAGAGTTATAACTGTATCTTTGAAGTACCGACATTATCTCTACAACAATAATAAAGATATTAATAGATAATTATTGTAAAATAATATAGAAAATATTTTTTGAAAAAAAAAAGTCTTTGTAGCATTAACAAAATACAGCACAATATTACCTCTACCTGGGACACTTTACAAGTAAAACTCACCCTCTGTGTTGCCAGTGAATTTGTGGGCTATGCCTAATAATGGTATATGCTTGTCCACATCTGGGATAGCCGCTGCCAGCTTGTACATATTCCTTCGTCTGTACCTGAACACCAAAAACCAGCCGAGGACAAGTACTATCAGTAAAATCACGATCATTTTGTACTGAGAAAGTAGCTACTATTTTAAAAACAAAAAGAATACTTTTACGCAATTCACGTATGACTACTTGGAATAAGATCCGTTTAATAGTGTCGTTGAAGTAAATTCTCGGTTATATACGTATATTTTACGTGAACAATAGCGGCCTTCCTTATACCTCTAAGTTATGTTAAATAGCCCACGCTGCGATGGTTCACGCTGCCTTTGACCACCACATGATCTTATAACCCTTTTCCTCTTATAAAACTTTATCCAGGATCTTCAAATGTAAATCGTAGTGAGGTAATCACAACATGAATGCATTAAAAAAAAAAGGGTGCGTGTACTTATGTACGCGCGTAGGAAGTTATACTTTATTTTTTAAATTTATTTCTTTTTTTTTAATATTAAATTAATATTAATAAATATTTAACGTTAATAATTTAATAATATTTAGTATGAATTATATTAAATAATAATTTTGTCATTTATATTACTAAATAATACATACGGATAGTTAACCTTAATTGTATTGGAGCACTTACGAAGGTTGATGAGCGCAGTTTTTTCACAAATATTTTCTAATATTAATTAGTATTGATTTAAATATTCAATTTAAATCACTTCTGATTATCAATCAAACGCATATATAAAATTCGCACTTGTATAATGAAAACAAAATGAAAACACATGTTTTAAATGTAGAAACTCAAAGCATCTGGATAAATATTATAAATATAAATACACAGTGAACAGAGGCGGCGTGCGTGCCAACATGCGCCACTANAATCACACTAGCAGCGGACTACAAGCATTCAACTTACCAAAATAAAGAATGTGACCCAACCAGCCTTTCGCTAGGCCGTTATGCTTCATAGAGTTATAACTGTATCTTTGAAGTACCGACATTATCTCTACAACAATAATAAAGATATTAATAGATAATTATTGTAAAATAATATAGAAAATATTTTTTGAAAAAAAAAGTCTTTGTAGCATTAACAAAATACAGCACAATATTACCTCTACCTGGGACACTTTACAAGTAAAACTCACCCTCTGTGTTGCCAGTGAATTTGTGGGCTATGCCTAATAATGGTATATGCTTGTCCACATCTGGGATAGCCGCTGCCAGCTTGTACATATTCCTTCGTCTGTACCTGAACACCGAAAACCAGCCGAGGACAAGTACTATCAGTAAAATCACGATCATTTTGTACTGAGAAAGTAGCTACTATTTTAAAAACAAAAAGAATACTTTTACGCAATTCACGTATGACTACTTGGAATAAGATCCGTTTAATAGTGTCGTTGAAGTAAATTCTCGGTTATATACGTATATTTTACGTGAACGATTGCGGCCTTCCTTACACCTCTAAGTTATGTTAAATAGTCCACGCTGCGATGGTTTACGCTGCCTTTGACCACCACATGATCTTATAACCCTTTTCCTCTTAGAAAACTTTATCCAGGATCTTCAAATGTAGATCGTAGTGAGGTAATCACAACATGAATGCATTAAAAAAAAAGGGTGCGTGTACTTGTGTACGCGCGTAGGAAGTTATACTTTATTTTTGTTAAATTTATTTCTTTTTTTTTAATATTAAATTAATATTAATAAATATTTAACGTTAATAATTTAATAATATTTAGTATGAATTATATTAAATAATAATTTTGTCATTTATATTACTAAATAATACATACGGATAGTTAACCTTAATTGTATTGGAGCACTTACGAAGGTTGATGAGCGCAGTTTTTTCACAAATATTTTCTAAAATTAATTAGTATTGATTTAAATATTCAATTTAAATCACTTCTGATTATAAATCAGACGCATATATAAGATTCGCACTTGTATAATGAAAACAAAATGAAAACACGTCTTTTAAATGTAGAAACTCAAAGCATCTGGATAAATATTATAAATATAAATACACAGTGAACAGAGGCGGCGTGCGTGCCAACATGCGCCACTAACAGAGGTTCCATTTTTGTTTTGTTGGTAGCATTTTTTACGAGTGTACATGCACGAAAGTTCACCTGCGGCTATATTCAGACTCGCCAAGTTACGTCGGTCGTATTATAATGAGCGATTTAGTGGGCAACTTCATTTCTGTTAATTTTGTGTCACGGTGCGCGCGCATCGTTAAATGTCACTCTCATCAATTTTTCATAACACGCCTAAAGAAGTATAACTTCAAAAATATATATGAATATTGAAGGCGAAAATAAAGTATAAATTTAGTAGCAATATTTTTCCCTTAGCTAAAATTATCAAATTCCATTGCACACTAAATACACACTAGATATGGTATGATTAAAAACAGCATTGTGTTTGATCTAAATAACAGATGCAACTCAAACTCCCAATGGCAAAATGAAAAACAGTTCTAAGTCGTCGTGGCTTAAAGGATAATTCGTCCGGCGTATTTGTAATTAGCGATGCAACGGTGTTCGAATCCCGCAAGCGGGTACCAATTATTCGAATGAAATGCGTACTTAAAAAATGTTCACGATTGACTTCCACGGTAAAGGGAATAACATCATGTAATAAAAATCGGTGGCAGGACCTTTTGTGAGTCCGCACGGGTAGGTACCACCACCCTGCTTATTTCTGCCGTGAAGCAGTTATGCGTTTCGGTTTGAAGGGTGGGGCAGCCGTTGTACTATACTGAGACCTCAGAACTCATATCTGAAGGTGGGTGCCGGCATTTATGTTGTAGATTTCTATGGGCTCCGGTAAGCTCTTAACACCAGGTGGACTGTGCAATAAAATAAAAAGTTGTGATAATCTAAAAATACGAAAAAAAATATGAATCATAAACAAATCATTCAATTCCGATACTTTTTTGACAGTATAATATATATGGCATCTTCGCATGGACTATTATACCAATTCTGGTGTCTTTCAGTTTACGATAGAAGGAGAACTACAAAACAAGAAAAAGTAGTCAAAATGTATATTTCGTTTAATGCAGGTAAGGTGGCAAACTGCGAAAAAGGAGAAATAAAAGGTCTTGTTTTATTGTAGATAAATACATAAGATGGGCACATATTTACGCATTTAGATTAGATACGGTGGTGGGGTGTAGCTGCTAGCTTCCCACGGGTGTCTCTGAAGGCGACTAAGGGTTTCACCGGAGAATGGACAACAGCGTTCTCTGCACAGCTGAATCTTGCGTTTTTTTATTATCATTATTATCATATCATCTATTAATAGCAAACTAAATATTTTCCCTATACCATCAAAAAGTAGCAACGCTTCTACGATTATATTGTATTTTCACGTATTTACGATTTTGTCAAAATATGTAATATATTTTTTTACAAACCGCCCAAACTCATTGAACGAAACTTAAAGCTTTTTTTTTAAAGATTATTACATGTGATCTACATACATCATACATCTACTCTTGGCAGGCGGGTTAGTGACCGCAGTACTATGTCCTTCCCTTAAGATTTTACCCGTCACGAAATTATATACCGGTAATTCATTATAATAAAAACGTAAATTATTGTAAAAAGAATTCCTACAAAAACTTGAAATCGTAAGAAGGTTTTCGCGCGGTATTGTGAAAAACATACTTTTATTTTTTTTTGTTCTACAATAAAAGATTTTATACAGTAATAGCGTTTGCCCGCGACTTCGTCCGCGTGGAATAGTTACTTTGTCATAACGCAAAATTTTACCCGCGACTTCATTTACGTAAAAAGTTTGGTGGTCGTTGATGGTGGTGGTAAGGTCACAAGGTGAAAATATTTTTGAATAATAGAATGTTAAGGAGCTGCTTAAGTTACCAAAATCACCCTATTTAACCGAATTAAAAGAAAGGAAGTTTTTAATTCGACCATAATTTTTTATCTATGTACTATGTTCACCGATTTCACGAAAATGCTTGAACCGATTCTGATAATTCTTTTTTTTTGTTTTGTTTGAAAGGGTAGACTTCCCTAATGGTCCTGTTTGTATAAAGATCTGATGATGGTATCTTGAATAAATCCAGAAAGCTCTATAATTGTCAAAGCCTATCTTGAAGTGATTTGAGTGTTTCAATATTGTATGAATAACGTATTTATTTGGATAGGGATTAATATCATCTTTATAAAAACACCTTCACAAAAATGTTTTATTTTAGAACAAATTTGTTTAGCATAAAAAACGTTATAGTGAGCCAACCTTAATACATAATTATGCTGTCGCGCACTTTTTTTAGATCTTTTAAAGGGGAACAATTCTCTCATACATTACTTTAGCAAAACTTTAACCGTTTCCGCAGCGCACGCAGTGGAAGCTCTCAAAAGGGACAAAGCCTGTGAACATTCCGATTTTGAAACATTATTTACTGGTGCTCCGCCTGCATTAGTCTTAGCGTGATGTTATATAGCCTATAGCTTTTCTCGATAAATGGGCTATCTAACACTGAAATAATGTTTCAAATCGGATCAGTAGTTCCTGAGATTAGCGCGTTCAAACAAGCAAACTCTTCAACTTTATAATGTTAGTATAAATTCATAATATACATGTGTGTTCAAGTATTTAGTATTCATTCTTATATTCCATTATATTATATATATCTTATATTCCATATTCTTTTCGTTGCAATATGAAACTTTATTTCAAATTTGTTGCAAAATTTAAACTAGGTACGTAATTACTTATCTGTCTACTTGCCGACATTAATGGGCAGATCTATGCTATGATCAGGCCGTTGTAGTTTGACTATGTTTAGAAATTGTAAATTTGCACCTGGGGAGTCTTTATAGTCTATATAGTGGAATAATTGCTGACATATAGTTAAATGAAAGCCTCTTTATATGCTCTAAAAATAATAGCAGCCCTATTTCTACCCATGTTTTTAATTTGATCTACCCCTGAAATCTTACCATTGTAGATAATTTGTCACCACCTGAACGAGTTTTTTTCTCTCTACCTAAGCTGATGTCCCTGAGGGGCCATTTCAGCGTAACTAGTAGGTGAGCTCACGGAGCTCAAACCTGACGACGTTGCTAAGACTAAGCCTAGCAAGAGCAGTGCTTCGCAGAACCTACCACCGGATCGGAAACGTAACCAACTCAGAATACCCGGCGAGAAACTGAGTAGGTAAATTAAAAACCAGACACAGCCCACTCAGTTTCAGCGAAGTAGTAGTAGTAGTAAATTGAGCGAAGGCCTGCCCTTGCTACGGCTAGTGTTAGCAAACTAGCCAGGCTGAGCCACGTGAGCTCGTCTACTCGTTTCAAGGATAGGAGGTAAAAAAAATCAGGTACTAACCGCTTGTTTGGTTACTATTCGATAAAAATCAAGACATCGTGCCGTGTGAATGAGAAAACGAATACGTTAAAGTTCATTCGATTTGCTTATAAGTATATACTAGTATTTATTTTATACTTTATTATAATTTATAGAAATCATACAAGCTAAGTTCTGTCTGCTATGAACACAATGACAAAGCCAAATCGGGCGAACCGTTCTCTGAGAAATATAGGGTATAGACAAGCAAATAACCACGGCAACTGAATGACAATGTATCCGCGTGTCTTCTTTTCCGGCATAGGAATTAACTGCTTGGACTAGTGGACGAGTGGCGAGTCTTCTTTATGTAATATTACTCCATACAACTTCCACGTGGCTGCCTGATTACTGATGATAAAGCGTCTTATGATCTCCCACTGGTAGGTACCACCACCCTGCTTATTTCAGTCAAGAAGCAATAATGCGTTTCGGTTTGAAGGGTGGGCAACAGCTGCGATGTAAAAGTTGAAACTCAGGACTCATGTCTCAAGGTAGCTGCATTTATGTTATTATTCTCTATAGGCTCTAGTAGCCATATCAAACCAGATGGCTGAGAGCTGTCCACCATCTAAGCAATATAAAAACATGACCCGCGGATGCATTGCGTCATTGGGACACTGGCAAAAAAAAAACTATCGTATCCGAAAGAATGATGTTGGTGCATTAAAAAATATTTATTAATTAATTTATTCTCTATTGTATTATATTGTCTAATACAATAACAATGATACAATAATACGTGATTAAATAATGATTTAAATACATCGTTGACATTTTACATGTTAGGATATTAATATTTGTCACTGCCTAATCAAACATTTAAATAGAATAACATGAATCAATAATTTGAATAAATTTAGTACCATTTAAAAAACACCAAAGTATTTATTACCTCTCAAAAAAGCAACTTATATTATTAAGAAAACTCGAAAAAAAAACTTTTAAAAATCCTAGGTTTAAAAAGTATTTAGAAATGTTTTTCATGTTGTATTTGGTATACCATAATAACTTCCCTATTTTTACGTTTTAACTGTGCGTTGACAATCTACGATTGTACATGTTCGCGCAATGCTATTTTGTTGGCCTTCTCTCCAAAGTCACCTGGCATCCGTTCACTGACTTCATCATGATGTCCAGTTTGACTCTAATTTGAGGAACAGGACCTTTCTCCGGTTCACCTACTACCTTGTATCTCCGCAGTATCGCAGATAAAGAAGTCTTTATCGAAATCATTGCATACTGATAACCTGCGAAAATATAAAACGAACCAATTCACGTGTTACAACTTCATACAACCAAAATTAATTTAATTAAATTAAAAAAAATAGTAACTGATATGTTAACTTGAACACTGGCATAAGCAACTGTCAAGATACCACAACAACAAGGAACTTCTTGTTCCGTGGAGAGGAGAAGGTTAAGCGCGAAGGCTCTAACGACGTGGATATCTTGGTATGAGCACGGTACTCACCCAGGCAATTCCTAGGACCGCTACTGAACGGCATGTAGCAGCACGGGTGCTCGACATTAAAACGCTCCGGTAGAAACCTGTCTGGGTCGAAGTGTTCCGCCTCCGGACCCCAGTACTTTGGGTCTCTGTGAATTCCCCAGATAGAAACCACTACTCCTGAACCGGCAGGCAAAACGTTACCGGATGCTAAAATGGGATTAATACCATTAATGAGCTGAAGAACATTTTTCAACTAGTCTTGCGATTATTCTGGTCGATATTAGGACAGCTACTACTTGCTATGTACAGCTTTGTGTACGCGAAGGACTTCCGCTGTATTTTTATAAATAAAAATCTTACGACTTCGACCTTGTTTTCCACAGACGGTATTGATGTTGTAATACCCATAAAGTCCCTGTCCGCCAACCAATAGTTGGATCTCATCCACCTCAAAAACACTCTCAAGGAAAAGGACGAATTCTAAAGTTAATTTTTAAATTTACCTAGACGATAGCATGGTTACAACTACAAACATTAATTCCTAAGTAGGCTCATGCTATTCACATTACAGAGGTACTTTCACCAGATAGAAATGAATTCATTCGATTTGTAAAGTTAAATTAATATTTAATTAATCGCAGTTCTACATTAATGTATATAAGTACTAGAATACTTTTTAGTCCTTTTTTCATGCGAGAAATTGTAATATCAACGGATTGTAAGAAACAGTAGGAACCGAGAAAAACTAAAATGTGTACTGTTAAAATTTACGAGTAGTTCAGTAGTATTTAGAACGAGAGACGAGAAAATAACATATTAATAAAGAAGAATAACGCTATAATGGGAATACTGAATTATCAATCCTCAAATAATGAATTCGCCGTCTCTATTTCTATTTCAAAACTAAAGAGTGAGAGTGATGCTAGTCAATAGATTTTTAGTCAATTCGTGACGAAAAAAAAATGTCTTCATCTACTTACGTAGCGTAATATCTTCCAAAACTTTTCTTATAATAAACGGAACTGGAGGGAATAATCTGAGCGACTCCTTCACAACTCTCTCCAAATATTTCATTTTTTCTAAATCTTCCTTTACTAAAGGTCGTTCCGAATCGCCGAACACTTCGCATAATCTACACACAGTCAAAAGGTATCTTAGAAACTACAATATGAAACGTCTAATAAAAATTTATGCATCAATTAAAAACGTTAATTCTTTTCGGTTTCTGGAACAAATATTGTCGGGATCTTATACAAACAAAAAAAACTTTTGTTTCACTATTTGTACATCATAAAGAATACAAGTATCTGTACATTTATTGATATCGTTTTATATTGCCTATGTCATTGCACATTATCCAGCGGTTTTGTACCTTTAAATAATAACTGGATAAATTCATAAGAATTATCAGACCATACCTAACTACGAAGATACTTACTCTTTGTAAACTTTTTCCTGTATTTCAGGATATTTTGATAACAGCTCTAGTGTGAATCCAATGGCGACTGCAGACGTGTCTGTACCTGCCACTGTCAATGTCAGCACTTCTTCTCGTAGTTCAATGTTAGTATAACCTTTTTCAGCTCCAGATAATGTAATGAGGAGATCAAGAAATGTCTTACTTTTGTATGATCCTAAGTCTGGTGGAAATCAATATAGTTATATATTTATTTATTACTTACTAGCTGATCTGGCAGACTTCGTAGTGCCTCAATCGATAAATAAATAAGACCTAAACTTTTGTATAAAATAAACTTAAAACAAACAAAAGGACTCCGTCCGACGGGGGACAAATCAAAGGAAAAACAAAATTGTTATTTTTATTCAATTCCGAGCATTTTCATATTTATCTACCTTTTATACCTTCTCAGGACTTCCACAAATAATTCAAGACCAAAATTAGGCAAATCGGTTCAGCCGTTCTAGAGTTTTACCGAGAATAACGAACGGCAATTCATTTTTATATACAGAAATAAAAAATAATAATCAGTTTCATACTAAAGGTTAATTATTATATAGACACCTTCCGTGGTGTACCCATGGAATTGTATATTCTTAGAATGTATTAGAGCTATTGAAATTTTATTATGAGTCATTTTGAATTGACAGCGCTTTGACTACGAATGTTTCTCGAAACGTTGAAGTCCATAAATCCTGTACAAAAAATGTCGGTGGGAAAATTATTAAAATATACAATTCTGAATTGATGAAACGAAAACGTAACCAAAGAACGAGGTAATTGGGCACACTTCGAGCAAACATTTTGTGTTATTAGATATAGCTATGTAGTTTGGTTTTGCACAAAAGTTCGAACACTTCCTTAAAAAAACTTATAACTTTTGATGTTTATAGAAAATATTGACAGAGAAACAAGCGTAGTTAATTTTACAATAAATAATAGCTTAAAAAACGAACAAAATACAGTTTTAGTCTAGCCATAAATACTGTTACAATTAAAAATAAATAAAATATTACATTTGAATCTGGAATCTGTCATTTTTATATGATTGCTCATTGAGTTTTCTCATGCTTCATTGAGGAAACTCTATGAAGAATATTTTGCGATATTAAAATGGAGTGGGGTGATAAAGAGAACTGAATCGCTGTGATTGCATTACACAGAGTAGGATGGAGCCAAATGCAATTTTTAAAACTCTCCATACGCTTGGTATTAGTAAAATGTTTGTGTACCGGGTATTTGATAGGTGCAATGAGACCTCCTCTGTTTGTGACAGAAAAAGATCTCGCCGTCCACGTAGTGTTCGTACGAAAAAGGTGGTCAAAGCAGTAAGGGAAAGAATTCGAAGAAATCCTGTCCGAAAGCAAAAGATTTTATCTCGGGAGATGAAGATAGCACCTAGAACCATGTCATGCATTTTAAAAGATGACTTAGGACTTGCAGCCTATAAGAGACGTACTGGTCATTCCTTAACTGATAATTTAAAAGAGAATAGGGTGGTAAAATCGAAACAACTACTGAAGCGGTACGCAAAGGGACAATTGAGCAACATTTTAACAAACAAAATGACCGTATTTATGCTCAAAGCTCTAAAGAAACTTCCCAATTAGTCGACAGAGTGCAACGTGGGCGCTATCCGACTTCAGTGATGGTTTGGTGAGGTATTAGCTACGAAGGAGTGACTGAGCCATACTTTTGTGAAAAAAGTATCAAAACATCGGCACAAGTGTATCAAGATACCATTCTTGAGAAGGTAGTGAAGCCCCTTAACAACGCCATGTTCAATAATCAAGAATGGTCCTTCCAGCAAGACTCGGCGCCAGGTCATAAAGCTCGGTCTACGCAGTCTTGGTTGGAAACGAACGTTTCGGACTTCATCAGAGCTGACGACTGGCCGTCGTCTAGTCCCGATCTTAATCCGCTGAATTACGATTTATGGTCAGTTTTAGAGATTACGGATTGCTTGCTCTAAACGCCACGATAATTTGGAGTCCCTAAAACAATCCGTACGATTGGCAGTGAAAAATTTTCCCATGGAAAGAATTCGTGCTTCTATTCATAACTGGCCTCATCGTTTAAAGAACTGTATTGCAGCCAATGGAGACCACTTCGAATAAGCTTTTTATACTTTAAGCTGTTTTCTATTTATGTATTAAACTAACACACTGTAAAAGTAATAAATGTTATTAGCAATAGATTTTTTTTTCTTTGTATCAGTATTTGTGGCAAGACTAGGTAGAATTTTTCGAAACTTGGCTTTGTTGTGTTACTGGTGGTAGGACGTATTATAACGGACCCTGCCCGCATAGGTCGACACCGCAATCCTAGATATATCTGCAACAAAGCAGTAATGTGTTCCGCTTCGAAGGGTGTAAGATCCGTTATAGATATAATGACCTTATGGCTAAAGATGCGTCGCGGCACTCATGTTGTGATTTCTATGGGTTTCCTACTATTTAAAGACAGGTGTACCATGCGTTTATTCACAAAATCAACAACTCATTTTTTTAACATGCTAGAAGACTGGATAACTACTACTCAAGAATTATTTGTATTAATTGGGTACTTGAAAAATAATTTTATTCATCTCGAGTGATAATTATGTTTGCTTCCGTGAGTAGTTGGAATAGTTCCTTATGCTACCAGCGATTAGATAGGANTACTATTTAAAGACAGGTGTACCATGCGTTTATTCACAAAATCAACAACTCATTTTTTTAACATGCTAGAAGACTGGATAACTACTACTCAAGAATTATTTGTATTAATTGGGTACTTGAAAAATAATTTTATTCATCTCGAGTGATAATTATGTTTGCTTCCGTGAGTAGTTGGAATAGTTCCTTATGCTACCAGCGATTAGATAGGAGAAAAAAATGATTTGCAGTGTACTTACCATACTTATAATCAACTTCTATGGCAGAATTATTTTCCGTCCCAATTTCTTCTCTTTTCTTTTGTATTGCCTGTAAATAAATGTTTGTTTATAAATCGCGATGTCAATTTCAATCTAATCTTGCATATTATTACAATATCTTTTTTTTCTTGCCCTTGTAGGCTGACTAGCATACGGCCCGCCTGATGATGAGTGGTTACCATCGCCCATGGACTTCAGCAATGCCAGTAGCAGGGCCAAGCCGATGCCTACCGAAAATTTAAATTTAAATTATTATAATATAACAATATTATTACAACATACTAGTTCCGAACAATATTATTCGGACAGTCGGTCTACTGAGCAAGGACACCGGCTCGTTGGAAGATCTTTTCGTCAACCTTTGTCATTTTCATTACTTTAATATTTTCCTATTTTGAAACTATTCTAAATACCACACCATACTATATCAATAATCGTAATGTAAAAAGTCTCCTTCCCTGTACTAAGCGTATAAGATCGAACTTTAATTTAATAGGTCAGACGGGCTAAGCTCTCTAATCCGCCTGTTACTGAGAGCTGTCTCTGTTACTGAGAGAGAGCTCTCTTGCCGAAACCAGTCTCAATAAGAAAGAAAGCTTGGTTTTCGAACAGGAGGGTCGTTAAGTGAGGTTCCTCTCCCATCTCAGTCTCAATACGTGACATAAAAACCAACGTTGATTAAACGGCCTAGCATCGCTGTCTCGGCCTTGGAACCAATGAAACATTTTAGTTCTACTTACCTCATCAACAAAATCGTGTAGCAATTTTTTACACTTCTGGTGCTCATGAAAGACAGGAAAAAGCTTGAATAGCCAGGTCGGTTGCAGCCACAAATGAAATATCCTCATACAGACAATATTAAGTATACGATTCATAGATATCAAGAAATTTGAATCCTTATACTTTATTTTTATTAAAATTATTTCTTTTTTTTAATATTAAATAATTAATAATAAATATTTAACGTTAATAATTTAATAATGTTTAGTATGAATTATATTAAATAATAATTTTGTCATTTATATTACTAAAAAATTAATGCTAATAACACTTTTTTTTACGAGTGTACATGCGCGAAAGTTCACCTGCGGCGATATTCAGACTCGCCAAGTTACGTCGGTCGTATTGTAATGAGCGATTTAGTGGGCAACTTCATTTCTGTTAATTTCGTGTCACGGTGCGCGCGCATCGTAAAATTTCACTCTCATAAATTTTTCATAAGGCGCCTAAAGAAGTATAACTGCGTCATACACAAATAGAGCACAAAATAGTGCAGCAACAAAAAAATCTCAGAATTAGTGCGAAACAAACTATTTATTATTTAACTATTTATCATCAATCTTTTAATCACTGTAACCGAGATCAATATGTCTTATTTTTGGCATAATCGCAATTTCTATATTTTTGCGGACCACCGAAGAGACGATTTGGTCTACAAGAGATGAAAAGCTGTGATGCAGCGTAAGCTAAAATATATGAAGACAACATAATCAAACACGTGTAGCCATTGGTATAAACGAATACCGAAACGCAAATAAAATGTCAACATGATCACATTAATTGGAAAATAAAAAATAAAATAATAATGTCTATAGAAAGGAAAATCCCTTCGGTGGACTTATGAAACAAAACAAATATCGAATTATAATAATTTTACAGCCATGGTATATTACTCGTATATAATATAATTCTTTAGATAGCTAATGAATTTTAATATGCAATGTAATGAAATTTAAGGACTTTAATTATTTCAAAATATTTCCAGAGAACTATCAGAATTGTCTGAATATTGTAAAGGAGTTGATGGCCATCATTTTTTTGATGAAAAACTTATGGAGCAATCGGACTCACTATCAAAATATAATATACGCAGTGCCCGCTTAATAGGTTTACGTGGTTCTCGATCATATATAATATCATAATCTGGAGTAAACCTGTCTGAGAAATTAGGTGATATTGATAGCGTAGATGCGTTGGGTGTTACTGGTANGTCTGAATATTGTAAAGGAGTTGATGGCCATCATTTTTTTGATGAAAAACTTATGGAGCAATCGGACTCACTATCAAAATATAATATACGCAGTGCCCGCTTAATAGGTTTACGTGGTTCTCGATCATATATAATATCATAATCTGGAGTAAACCTGTCTGAGAAATTAGGTGATATTGATAGCGTAGATGCGTTGGGTGTTACTGGTATAAAAGGAGAATTAGGTACAGATAAATAGTCTATTTCAGGAGTATTTGACCCAGAATCTAGAACATGTGAGGCCCGAAACGAATTCAATGTCTTCATTTGCAAATTTATTTGACCTAGACGATAATGAAAACAATGCATATCAGCTGTATTTCTTCACTATTTTCTTTTTTCTGTCTATACGTTGCTCTAACTGACGATTTGTTCTTCTGTTTTCTGTTTAATCTTGATAATTGCAAACGATATCTAACTAAGCCTGAATCCATGTTTGAAATTTTTATTCTTAAATACTTATTCTCTGCTTTAAGTCGTCGCAAGTTACGAGCTCTAATAACATTACCTACACTAACACGAGATCTTGCCAAATATTATGAACTTAAAGATGAAGTGTAACTAATCAAATCAGTAGCCTTAGCTTTTTGCTGTTTTTCTTTTCACGTCTTATTTTCGCTTTTTCTCTCCAAGCCTTCCTATGTTCCTTTGCTGCCTGGGAGTGTAGACTTTTATAATTTTAATTAGACCTTCAGCTTTCTTTTTCTTGTATCTTTCTTTGTCTTGTTTTTTTATCTCTTCAATTTCTGCTCCGCTCAGCTTAGCACGTGTGCGTCTCATGCTCAACTTCTTTCTTTGTTTTTTTTCTTCTTCTTAGAGTTGAATTTTAGATCAGCTTTCTCGAAGTAAGATATGGACCAACGCCCCAAGGGTTGAACCCCCTGAACGAAATCAATAGAAATAAAAAAATGTTTTCGTTTCCTCTATTTACATTGATTAGATTTATATTTTTTTTATTGCTAATCAAATGTTGCCAAAATCAAGCCTCTTTCTAGCCAACTTTAAAAAAGGAGTAGGCCCTCGGTTCGACTATTTTTTTAGTTCTTCTCTACATAGACCAACTAAGGTATGTTTCTTACCCCTTTTCTGTGGACATAGTCTTTTCAGTGGACATCGTGACCACAGGGAAGATGTCCACAGAAAAGATGTTTTATAAAAACTCTTGCGCAAAGAAGTTAACTTTGAGGTTAGAAATCAAGTAACATGCTTTTCATTTACTTGTACTAAATGCTCATATAAAAATAATAAATATATATTTTTATAGATAATATTTACATGTCTATAATTGGAACAGGAAAGAACACTTGATATTTTACGTTTATGTGTGTTTTGGAATAAAAAATATACTTTCACTCGCACTGGAATCGAAACAACAAAATATCAAATGCCGGAATGGCCACTATTTAGTAATGCCAACAGTTAAAAACACAAGCTTAATGCGGTCGAATAAATAAAAATTTGGTGTCGTTTTATCGCGTCCACAGAAAAGACTCCATTTCATGTAACCATAAGTTTATTGGATTTATTGTATACAGATAATAACGGTATATTTGGTTTATTCTCAATATTATCACCTTTATTATATTGTTTGTGTTACAAGTAAATAATTTTAATACATAGGGTACTTTAACTATTTTTAAACATGGCTCAAACATTATACCTTCGTCTTGTAACAGTCCACAGGAAGAGATTTTTTGAAGTTTAACGCCATCAAAATGAATTTATGAAATGTAATATTTTACAAGATACGATTACGATTTAAATGCTTTCAAATATTCATCAATTTCCTCTTTTAGGTGATACATTGCTACAACACTTTTTTTACCCTTTTTGTGTATGACCCAACTTCAAAAATGTCAATAACATTAATATGAATTCCACTAATTAACACTAAATTGTGCTATAAAGTTACCGCTTCTACAAATAGTAAAAGTGCTTCTAAAGACACCTCACCTCATATAAAATAGTATAAAACAATTCAATTTAAAGTGTAACTTGCCACAGATAGAGTCCAATGTGTAAGCGCTTAGAAAAGGCCATGAGCTGAACTTCCCCTTGCCGACACATTTACCCAAATTTGAAGCAAGCTTCTCACTTTGCTCGGAGGTTATTCCTACAAAACTCTGAACTATTTTGGGACTGAAAGCTGGCACCATAATTTTCCGACGTCTTCGCCATATGGACACTAAAATTTAATGCGATAATCATTTATTTGAGAATAATGTAGAAGCTATTCTAATATCGTAATATAATGGTTATCTGCGATTTCAGAAACTAGAGTCACTCTGCACATGTGTAAGTCTTAGAATGAAAAAAATTGTCTACCTATGATGTTGTCGTTTTACAATAATGACCTTCGAAAAGTAATTTATTTATGTCTGGCAATCAATTTGAAGTCGTCGTGGCCTAAAGGATAAGATGTCCGGTGCATTCGTATGTAGCGATGCACCGGTGTTCGAATCCAATTCGGTACCAATTTTTTTAATGAAATACATACCTAATTAACAAATGTTCACGATTGACTTCCACGGCGAAGGAATAACATCGTGTAATAAAAATCAAACCCGCAAAATTATAACTTGCGTAATTACTGGTGGTAGGACCTCTTGGGAGTCCGCACGGGTAGGTACCACCTCCCTGCCTATTTCAGCCGTGAAGCAGTAATGCGTTTCGGTATGAAGGGTGGGGCAGCCGTTGTAACTATACTGAGACCTTAGAACTTATATATCAAGGTGCGTGGCGCATTTACGTTGTAGATGTCTATGGGCTCCAGTAACCACTTAAAACCAGTTGGGCCGTGAGCTCGGCCACTCATCAAAGCAACAAAAAAAAAATCTAACATCAAATGAATTTAAATTTAAAAAAATAGGAATTAAAACAGGAATAAAAATACGTAACACGATATCTATTGTACAAACATACCTGGTGCGAAAATTCCGCCGTAACCGATTACAACTCTCATGAATCTGTGTAAATCGTCTTTCTCCAAACATGTCTTGAGAACTAACTCCAAGTCAACGGGGTTCAATAACGCTAAAAAAAATCAGGTAATTATTTTTCTATAAAGATAATAAAGTTTGCTTTAAGACGCTCAATATATGAATATTGTTAAATTTAAACACTAGACTACTTCTAAGAGGTACCCAATGACGTCACGCAACCTGCCCTCCTTACAAACTAAACTATTCTAACATCCGTTTAGCTAAATCAAATTCAGCAAAATTGTAACACTATTCAAGCTTTTGCCCATATCAAAATAATCATAATGGTTTATGATTAGTATTCAACCATTTTTGAAGTGAAACTTCTTTATCGGCGTTGGAAAAAAATTTACCGTCACATTTTTCGGTTACGCGTCACATTTTTCCGTTACGCGCCATCTGTTTTGTATTCATGTCTATGATAATAAAATCCTTTTGTTTAAACTTTATCTAATTTAACTTTTTTGTATTCATGTCTATGATAATAAAATCCTTTTGTTTAAACTTTATCTAATTTAACTTTATTTAACCAATTTCTAGAAAGTTGCATGTAGATCATTTTTCGAAAAATAAGGCCATAAAGAAGTTTCACTTCTTACGTGTGTACACTAGTACACGCACACATTTTTTTCCAAATAAACATGCTAAAACAATAGGTAAAATGATAATGATTTTAAGCTGATGCTAGTTTTTTTAAGCCTTAGCGGACTTCTGCATCGCAAATGAATTCTAGGCATTGTACTATATATAATTTATTTGTAGCATATATTACTATAAATAGATAAGTATTAAACGTATGAAATTATATATAAGACATTTTCTCTTTATTAAAAGGAAGAAATGCACAAGTGTGGTTTATGATTAACGTTATATTCAAAAGTGCAGCCATGTCTCATCAACATAAATCTAAGTGATAAGAGCAAGCGTATTCTCAAAGAAAATAATAATTATACTCGCATTTCCAACCAGAACAAACTTATTTATTTGTTTATTTGGGAAACCAACAGTACAAAATAAACATATAATATTTTAAATAATAGCTAAAACAATAACCAAACATGTTTCCGCCACCAAAATCACATAATATATAAGTAGAGAGTAAACTAAGGAAAAAAATAGAAATTTAGAAATTTAAATTTACACAAAAAATATAAAAAAAAAGCAACACAATACGCACATATTATTATGTACTTCAGCTTACACTATAAAACTTAATAATACTCATCGGACTAAATCTCCTTATAAATATTCCAAAATAGCCTTTCTATCTGCTACAAGTGACAAACAAAACATGTCACCATTAGAGAACTTAGTGTCATACAACCTACAAGATCTACGGACAAGAGTTCGAAACCTATTTCCTTCGAGCCGTGGACATATGGAAGGTCTGTTTAGCGCGGTAATACGACTACATTTGAATTAAATAATAAATAAAATAAATTATATATACATATATAGAATATTTGTGTGAAATGCAAATAGTATTCCTATTAGAATAACCTAATCCTGAAACCACATTATCAGCGGACTATAAGCATTCAACTTACCAAAATAAAGAACGTGACCCAACCAGCCTTTCGCTAGGCCGTTATGCTTCATAGAGTTATAACTGTATTTTTGAAGCATCGACATTATCTCTACAACAATAGTAAAGATATTAATAGATAATTATTGAATAATAAAATAGAAAATAATTTTTGAAAAGAAATTCATATAGGTAACTGGGACACTTTACAAGTAAAACTCACCCTCTGTGTTGCCAGTGAATTTATGGGCTATGCCTAATAATGGTATATGCTCGTCCACATCTGGGATAGCCGCTGCCAGCTTGTACATATTCCTTCGTCTGTATCTGAACATCGAAATCCAGCCAAGGACAAGTACTATCAGTAAAATCACGATCATTTTCTACTGAAAATGTAGCGACTACTATAAAAACCAAAAAAATACTTTTACGCAATTCACGTACGACTACTTTAAATAAAGTTCGTTTAATAGTGTAAGTGAAGTATATAAATTCTCGGTTATAAATGCCGGTTTTACATGAACGATTTCGGCCTTCGTTCCACCTCTGTATTATATCAAATGGTCCACGCAGCGCTGGTTATGTTCACGCTGCCATTGAACACTGTGTGGGCTTCAAAATACACAATGAGCCATTATTCAGAGCTTCATTAATTATTATTAAACCCTAGTGTAAATGACCGTGCCGTCGTCACACCATTGATTGATTCAGAAATTATTATTAGTGAGAAAATGATGTTTAAATTTGGTTGAAATATTTGTTTCCGTAGATTTTTCATATTTAGATTGTAGTATTTTTTTTCGTTTCTATTTAATTAATAAAAATATTTTTGTTACGCCGGAAGCGAAATTTCGGTTGCGCTCCCTTCCTGCAGAGTGGAAAGTGTCAGGAGATTTCCTGATTACATTTTTTAATAAATTATTGCGCATACATACTTCAATTTCATTGGCGTATACGCACTTATCTTTTTGGCATGTAACTTATTAACGATTTTGGTAAGGCCATCTAGTTACGATATTGCTAGGGCTATCTTAGTTTTACTAAATGTCCAGGCGAGCTCACGGGGCTCAGCCTGAGAAAGTTTACGACTACTAGCGCTCGCAGGGGTAGAACTTCTTTGAATCTACCGCCGGATCGGAATCGCGGCCCATTGAGAAAATCCAGCGACAAATTCTCAACGTGAGACATTATTTATTTATTTATTAAGTTGCACTAACAAAGTGATCATCAATACAAAACATTGACCAATTGACAAAAGTTCATGGCATATGTCACGTCAATTGTAGGTGCAATCGACAGGGCATTAACAACAAAAATAAAAATCATTATATAACTAAGATTTGATTACATTTGATTGATTGCGATTAATTTATATTTAATTGGGAAATGATCCGCGACCGATTTTTCCTGTAAGTTGTGAGACAATTAGAAAAAACATCTATTTCACTTAAAGATCTTAGAACTTATATCTCAAGGTGGGTGACGCATTTACGTTGTAGATGTCTATGGGCTCCAGGTGGGCTGTGAGCTCGTCCACCCATCCAAGCAATAAAAAAAATGTAGGTAAGGTGGCAAACTGCGGAAAAAGGAAAAATAAAAGGTCTTGTTTTATTGTAGATAAATACTTAAGATGGGCACATATTTACGCATTTAGATTAGATTGGGCTGAGTGGTGTAGCTGCTCGCTTCCCACGGGTGTCTCTGAAAGTGACTAAGGGTTTCACCGGAGAATGGACAACAGCATTCTCTGCACAGGTTAATCTTGCGTTTTTTTATTATCATTATTATCATATCATACTATTAATAAAAAACTCTAACTATTTTCCCTATACCATCAAAAAGTAGCAACGCTTCTACGATTATATTGTATTTTCAAGATTATTACATGTGATCTACATACATCATACATCTACTCTTGGCAGGCGGGTTAGTGACCGCAGTACTATGTCCTTCCCTTAAGATTTTACCCGTCACGAAATCATATACCGGTAAAAATAATTCCTACAAAAACTTGAAATCGTAAGTAGGTTTTCGCGCGTTATTGTGTAAAACATAACTTCTATTTTTTGTGTTCTACAATAAAAGATTTTATACAGTTATAGCGTTTGCCCGCGACTTCGTCCGCGTGGAATAGTTCAAATCAAATCAAATCAAATTTTTTTTGTTTAACATAGATGAAAGTACATACTTGTTGAACGTCAAAAGAACTACCGCCAATTCACAAGAACTAGCCTCAGTCCTGAGAAGAATTGGCAAGAAACTCAGCGGGCATGTCTTTTTTTCTTTTTTTTAAATATTAGATTTAAAAAAAAAAAATTAGATTTTTTTTAAATATTCATTTTTACAATGAGTATTATAACGTTACAATTATTACAATATTGAAATGCCTGGAGCGAGCAACTCATTCCCACTTTGTGCAATCTTCTTGATAATCATTGACTTTATAGTAAGCTTTATTGCACAGATGTTCTTTAATAGTTTTCTTAAACCTATGTATATATAGGTTCTGAACATCTTGTGGGATTTTGTTGTACAGGCGCACAGACAAACACCCGAATGAATTTCGTATCTTATGTAACCTACTCATCGGCACAACAAGTTTGTGTTTGTTCCTAGTATTTCTATTATGTATGTCCGACTTTTTAGGAAACTCCTCAATATGTTTACGAACATACATAAAATTTTCAAAAAATTACTGGGATAGTGACATAGTGAGAACTTTAATTTCTTTAAAATTTTCGCTCAAGGATTCCCTTGAGTGCATGTTTGTTATAAATGGCACGTATAGCTCTTTTCTGCAGAATAAATATCATTTCTACATCGGCCGCATTGCCCCATAGCAAAATGCCATAGGACATGACACTGTGGAAGTAACTAAAGTAAACTAAACGATGAGTTACTTTGGCATAACGCAAAATTGTATCCGCGACTTCATTTACGTAGAAAGTGAAAATATTTTTGAATAATAGAATGTTAAGGAACTATTTAAGGTATCAAAATCACTCTTTTTAACCGAATTCAAAAGAAGAAGTTATCAATTCGATCATAATTTTTTATCTATGTACTATGTTCACCGATTGCTCGAAAATGCTTGAACCGATTCTGATAATTCTTTTTTTTTTTTTGTATGAAAGGGTAAACTTCCCTAATGGTCCTGTTTGCATAAAGATCTGATGATGGGATCTTGAATAAATCCAGAAAGCTCTATAATTGTCAAAGCCTATCTTGAAGTGATTTTAGTGTTTCAATGTTGTAATGAATAACGTAATAATTTGGATAGGGATTAATATCATCTTTATAAAAACACCTTCACAAAAAATGTTTTATTTTAGAACAAATTTGTTTAGCATAAAAAATGTTATAGCCGACCCTAATACATAATTATGCTGTCGCGCACTTTTTTTTAGATCTTTTAAAGGGGAACAATTTTCTCATACATTACTTTAGCGAAACTTTAACCGTTTCCGCAGCGCACGCAGTGGAAGCTCTCAAAAAGGACAAAGCCTTTGAAGATTCCGATTTTGAAACATTATTTATTGGTGCTCCGCCTGCATTAGTGTTAGCGTGATGTTATATTGCCTATAGCTTTCCTCGATAAGTGAAAGAATTTTTCAAATCGGATCAGTAGTTCCTGAGATTAGCGCGTTCAAACAAAAAAAAATCTCTTCAACTTTATAATATTAGTATAGATTCATAATATACATGTGTGTTCAGGTATTTAGTATTCTTTTCGTTGCAATATGAAAATTAATTTCAAATTTGTTGCGAAATTTAAACTAGGTACGTAATTACTTATCTGTCTACTTGCCGACATTAATGGGCAGATCTATGCTATGATCAGGCCGTTGTAGTTTGACTGTGTTTAGAAATTGTAAATTTGCACCTGGGGAGTCTTTATAAATCCCAATATTCAAATAAGTAGTAGGGCGAAATACAAGGCAGTCAAAAGGTAAAAGGAGACGGGTTATTTATAAATTTGAGAAATTGGAAAAGCTAAATTTTGCAGGTTCTTATACGAGTTGACAAGAGGGTGTATAGTTTTATGACGCTAATATCTAATTGGCCAACGTTTCGGTCAGTTGAGCGAATTGAAATAGTAGAACTAAAAGGAGATGGCTTAGGAGGGAAATTATTTTGTATGCAGAGTTAATATCTAGTAATAAAGTAATAAACTGATATAATATGACGGCTTTGAGAGAATGCAACGCGAATATCTGAAGTGAGGAGGCTCAGGCTGTCCAATACACCGTAGCCTCGTCTAAAACCAAACTGACTATTAGGGAGAATAGACCTGTGTTCAACTATCCATCCCAAATGATCTTTATCAGGTGTCCATAATTTTAGCTAGCACACTGGAGAGAGCAATAGGTCTATATGAACCAGATTGAGACGGATCCTTGCCTGGTTTTAGAATTGGGATTATAAATTTAGTTTTCCAAGAGGCTGAAATAGACCTGGAGAGAAATATATGATTTAAAAGATTTAGAAAGATTTTTATAGAAAAACCGGGTAAATTTAATCAATATTGATTAGATAGACTATTTCTTGATAGAAGATAATTATAATAAAAATAGTTAAAATTCACCATTTCCTTCATGTTACGCACGCCAATAACTGCTTAAGACGGTATTCGAGAGAATTCATGACGAAGCTACGCCCACTTTCTATCATGAATACGAGTGATTATTTTCGCACAAAAAAACAGACTCGGTTGATTAATAGAACTCGCCGAGCTTTTTATCGTAATCGAAGAGTTTGACGAGGACGGTGGCCGGTGCTTGAGAGACCTGAAGGCACCCAGAGTGAATCCGGGGGATCCGAAAAAACATGTTACGGGCGACAGCGGCTCTGGGTTGCCCCGTCGCGGTCGAATAAGTAATTAACGGCGGCCACGATAAGAGGGTTTTCGTGTCGCGCCGCTTTGTCGAAGTAGCGTTCTGACGCTTCGTTAAGATACTTACGTTCGGTACTAATTTAAGATCGTCGTGAAGATCTACAATCAATCAATACAATCACAAAAAGATTGAACAACTGTACCCCTCGGTTTCCAGACGGTTTTTACATCTATTTTTTCTTCTTATTCAATCTTCTGGCTTTAATAACGATGTTTGGGACAGACCGACACTCAATTCATGAGACTAGGTCCTCAAGAGACCATTCTACACGAATTTATCTCACGACACCCATCCTGGAAACTTGAAAGCGTGGAATAATTGCTGACAAATAGTTAAATGAAAGCCTCGTTATATGCTCTAAAAATAATAGCAGCCCTATTTCTACCCATGTTTTTAATTTGATCTACCCCTGAAACCTTACCATTGTAGATAATTTGTCACCATCTGAACGAGTTTTTTTCTCTCTACCTAAGCTGATGTCCCTG